CAATACATACATGTATCTGCCAATACCGATGCCACATTTCATCGACCAACAAAAAATATGTTGATTACTTACTACTATTACTTACCCATGTTCTGGCCTTGTTACTCTGTGACTTTTAGGAGACATAAAATAGCCGTATGTTTTGTCTTTACGTTGTTGCTCCATCATTGCAGGTGTTATATATACAGTGCATATTAACTATCAAACATCAATAGCACTGTATAATTTTGAAAGCAGACATTCCAAACAAACCAAGTCCGCAGCTCTTCTAAAGATCTTTCCAAAGTACATGCAGCTTAGAAATCAAAATATCATCGTTGAATACTTCTTGCTTTTTATCCGATCAAGAAACTGGTGAGGTTCACTAAAGAAACAAATATGATGGTAAAATGAAGTTTATTTTGTCTCCATCCTTGACACTATCAATGAAAAATTAGAAAATCTCTACGCTGTTGGCACACATCGCCATTTACAAGATGCATTTGAAATGTAAACATGTATTACAGCTTCATCTTGGAGAATGTTGTTAGGCATGGATGCACAAGTTCCACGTGTAGCAGCTTGAAGTTATTCTTAGCCATTGTATTCTACTGGACATTAGACCAATGAAAAGTGTCATCCTCCCACACATACATGTATATATCGAAAGTCACGTGACTCATCCAACTTACATTGAAGTTAGAGAATAAAACAAATTTCTCAATTATCAAAACTAATTTCAGAATTTTGTCAAAGAAGACACACACAGACCTACATGTTAAAAACTCTCCAAAAATGAAACTTTGTATGCTCTCTTTGCTCTTTAGTCTTTCTTTACAAATGACAGACTGATTTTCAACAGCAGACCTGTACATTTCAAAGCAGATCACAGAAAAACATCTTTTTTTTCCCCTCCATAATGTGTCCTTCAGCAAAAAAATAACAAAAATGAAAAGAATGTGTCATGTGTAATTGGCGGTTCTGCTTTTACAATTTGGAAATGTGCACATCTTAAAGCGGGACTGCACTACTTGTAGCTACATGTACATGTACTTGCGCCCTCTACAGTATACAGTATAGCAATCCCTAATGGTCCCTTTTTTCTAATGTTAATTAAAAGCTGATTTGATGAGATAACTACTTGTCAGTAGCCAAGCAGAAAGGTCTAATCCCTCCTGGCTAAACTAGTGCAGATAGGCCTTTAAGCATATCCATTTTTATTAAAGGCAACATGATTCAAAACATTGAAATGTTTTTAAAGACATTTTCTGTTTGAGATCGAGCTTTAAAAATGTTTAATCGCACATCAGAGTGTGAGACACACATGATAGCTTTGTGCATGTATTGTAATATCAGTTTCTGAATTCTTATTTCGGCTGCATACATGTAGCATGTGAAGTGAGCTCAAGCCCCGGTGGGGTCACTCAATGTGACTTCCGGACCGCATGACCGTTACCAAAATCACGGAAAAAGGGGTCAATTTCAAGCAATGTCCGCGGACAAAATATTCCTCGAAATAAAGAAAATAGGGGTGCACAGGTGTCCCCGAAATTGATAAATAGGGGTCAGGAAAAGGGAAAAGAGAAAACCGGGAAGGGAAAAGAGAAAACCGGGAAGAAAAATTCTCGGAGCCGAGTCTTGTCCTTTAAATATGGTAAAATAGGGGTAAATTTGCGAAAGTGTCCTTACAATCTTATAAATAGGGGTATTCCAAAGTAGGATTTTGTCCTTGTTTTGACGTAAAAAAGGGGATTAAATTTCACAAAATGTCCTTGAAATTGACCGCAAAAGGGGGTTATATGCATTGGTGGTAACGGTCATACGTGTCACTCTTTGCAGGGGAGTGACCCCACCGGGGCTCAAGCTACTTCCATTTTAATCAGTGCATATGAAAAATGAATGCCAACTATCCCTTGATTAAGTACAGTACATGAACATGTGGCCAAAACCACTGCTGCTTTTCTGAAGACTGCCACCTACATTTGTACATGTACGAAAGGGAAATCCAACATTATAGTACACAACTTTAAAATAATGCAGAAAAATCAGAGAAGCAGACTTGTGAAAGTTTGAATGAAATTTCTGACAATAAATTTTAAAAAAAAGTTTATTTCATATCTGCTAAAGCGGCTAAATCGGTAATGTCACTATGAGTATGATTTAGTGCTGGACAACTCTTTGATTTGTTCCAACACACAGAAAGGCTTCTTTTTTTTCCTTCAATATGTATGACTCAGAAAGGACTTTATATTTCAAAGGCCCTGTAAAATTGTACTCTCCATCATATATTTTGAGTAGTGCCCGACCGCTCGAAGGGTAAAAGCAGTTGGGAGAAAATCGAAAATTAGTGACATTTTTGTATACGACAGCAGGAGAGCTATTTGTTACTACAATTTCTTCTGTAAGTTTCAATCCACAGACCAAAATGCCAAATGAACTTATTAGAAGGGTTGGATTTTCTGTTAACAGTACTAAAACATGCTTCCATGATTTTTTTATAAGAACTGAAAATAATAATTTTTAAGAGTCCTAAAGTAAAAATTGGGTTTGGCTAATATGTGGCCAAACCCCCTTCTTTACTTGATATAGTATTTGATCTACTAGTACTACTAGTACTGCAGTAAGGTTGGAACCATAGGAACATGTATTACTGGACGCAACAAACAAAATTTCAACAGGATTACCCCTAACTTCTGTAGGTATATTGATAATGAAAAACTTTACTGATAATTTTATACCAGTTTCTGGGAGGGTTCTTCTGCATTTAAAAAGGACAAATACAACTTTAATTAGGACTCTTTTTTTTTTAAAGAATTGTTTTAACTTCTTACGGGAATCATGTGAGTCCATATTGTTATCTGTATCTGTGCATTTCAAAATGATTTCGCTATGCGTCATGGGGACCAGCTGAAAAACCTCACTACGTGTATGGTGGACTGACCACTTATTGGCGCATGTTCAGAAGCCTAGATCCAAAATTTGACCCATAACTCCGGCGTGGAAACCGCTGTACATTACAACTTACAAGTGCATACCGATGGTGGGTTAATTGCGGGCGGGCGCGCGCCCGCAACCCACTATCAGGGGAATTGTAAATTGCATTGTTCAAGGGTTTGCCATGAAACCTGTGAAAAAGTGTATACTAATATCAATGTTTTTCCGAAAAATACTCCCCAAAAACTAGAAAATTGACACGAAACAGGTAATAAACATAATGACTTTTAACTCATGATCTTTATTTGGACATTTAATGAATATTTTCTTCATTTTGGGTATATTTTAGTAGGGTATCTGAACAAGCGCCATGATTACCCCTCCCACTCCCAGAATGATGTAGATGAAACTCCTCACGTCTTTACTTTTGTTACTTTTCTTTTACTAGGGTGTCTGAACAATTTTTCAATTTTCAATTTGGCTATGGCTATAATCGGCTATAATCACTATGAACATGACAGACAATGAAAGCGGACAAAATATACAGTTCCTCAGGTAGACAAAGGGACATCCCTTCACTGCTATTATGTAAAAATGTGTAGAACAGGTGTCACATGCATATTCACCTGTTCTACACATTTTTACATAATAGCAGTGAAGGGATGTTCCTTTGTCTACCTGAGGAACTGTATATTTTGTCCGCTTTCATTGTCTGTCATGTTCATAGTGAATGCTGCTTGCTATTATATTACCGAACCCCGAACCGAACCAAGTTCGGGTGAAAAATTGTCGAACTCTGCCGAACCGAACCGAACACGAACATAGCGTCTGACTTACAGCACTAGTTTGGACTGAGCGGAGCGCACGCCCCCTAATTAGCTGATCCACCAAATAGCGGGAAGGGTATTTTTAAACTGTTATCAGTTGTGATCCCTGGGGGCTAGCGAAAATATAAGCACATAGAATTGTTCCTTAAGACTGATATTACTTATCGATCGGGGCGTCATATCTCAAAAGTGGCAAACCTCAAAGTTAGCCAGGATACAATATTTAAATTGCTGTTTTGACCAAGATATTTTTAGAATTTTGAAACAACCCCCCTTTGGAAATATTGGAATTCACTTGCGTTTTCATATGACACCTCATTCATTGGGTATCACCTTCAGGATCACAATTCACAACAGATAAAGGTTTGAATTTTTGCATGGTCACGCAGTGCACGTAGACTGCATAGGGATGCGTGCAATCTCTATGGGAAGAATTTTAGCACACAACATTGGGTGCGCGATCAGACACCCTACTTTTACTTGAAAAATACTCCCCCAAAACTAGAAAATTGACACGAAACAGGTAATAAACATAACAACTTTTAGCTCATGATCTTTATTTGGACATTTAATGAATATTTACTTCATTTTGGGTATGTTTTAGTAGGGTATCTGAACAAGCGTTCATTTATTTACCCCTCCCACTCCCAGAATGAATTACAAACTCCTCACGTCTTTACTTTTGTTATTTTAGTTTTTACTTGTAGTCTATGTGCAAAGTTTTGAGTCTTGACACCCATATATTCACTACACGCACACAACGCAATCAGTAACACACATGCACAGGGAAGAAATTGGACTTATGATTATGAAGTTGTGTTGTTTGTTGCTTCTCGTCTTGCTGATTGATTATTTTTGCAAAGCCAAAGCTAGTCTAAACAACTTCAGATAGATCATATAGGCCTAAAGTAAACAGGACAAGTTATCTCACACACTCATACTGTCACACTGACACTGCCTTAACAGTTACAACTTGGGTTCTTCATGTTCTTAAGTTAACTTGCAGGTCATCTGGGATTTAAACCTACGGAAACTAAACCAAATCTATTAATCAACTACGAGCATGACGAATGCTGCTGAACCGAGCCTGAGCTGCGCCGCATCTCAGGCTCAGCTCGGCCAGGCAGCGCGGCGCGGCGGACCTCTCAAGCAGCGTCAGGCTGCAATGCCAATGGCAATGGCAATGCATGCCACACCACAAAAGCAAACCGTTTTTATTGTCAGTGTTTTATAAAATATAATTGTGGAATTCGCACTTACCTTTCACCAAAATTAACTGGCAGCGTTGGGTCATCTTCTGCCAGGGAATCCATGATGCTCGATTATATTTGCCAAATTAACTTAGAATCTATGAATTTAAGTCCGTTTTTCTACCCATCTCGTCGTTTAGTTTAGATCGGTAACCATTACCGCCGTGATTCAAGTGTACGGAATTTTCAATGATTCCGATTCCGAAGGTGAACAGCGCACGATCGAGAAGGAGTATGGGGTTCAGCGAAAAAAATAGCTGAACTTTCAGCTGGGGTCATATTTTGTCTGGAACGTGAGTTCGCACGGTCGGTTTGTTTTGAAAATAGAAAGTAGATTCGCGGGAAGAGGGGGGTGGGGGTGGGGGAGTGGTCACTTTTTAATCGTTCCTTCATAAATTTGTAAATTCTCTATGCAATTATTTCTTCTTTTCTTTCTTTCTTTCTTCACCTCCCCGTTTTTTCATATAATTTATCTATAATTTTTTTCCTTCTTTTTTTTTTCTACTCCGGCGCGGAATTCTGGATCCCCTCCTGCATTATTAAGGGGTCTGATTCCGATGTACTTCTTTTTCAGAGGACAGAAGAAATCTTATTTATCCATTATTTGGAGTGGAAATAAGAAGGATTTTCATAGTGCTATGTGTCTTTTTTGTTTAACATTAAATACAAGAAAATTATCGTGTATTTTAATTTTTCTCATACATGCAACATTTTCAAGTGGGTTGCTCTCCGCATCTAGCTCACCTACCTCTTTCGTTCCTATTTTCGCCACCTAATTCCCACCCCCAAACACACAATATATATCTCTTTCTTTCTTTATCTCTTCCTGACTCTCTGTCATCCAGTAGCAGCCGATATTCTCCCTGTTTATTCTTTTCTTGAGTCACTGTCTTAAATGGATAGTTGAATTCTGTTGCAGAGCGGAGGGCGCTCATTTAAGAGGTAATGAAAAACTGAGTGTCAAATTTGAAAGAAAATAATATTTAAATGACAAAATCATCTTTGTTTGATCAAAATTGGTTCAGAGACAGCTGAAATATAACGATTTCTATTACTTGTGTACCATCATAAATATTAGATAAGTTGAAAAAGCTGTTGAAAAAATAAAAAAAACGAAATAGCGCCTTTTACGTGTTTTTTTTTAGCCAATGCCGTGATTGGCTTTTTTGTTCGTATTTTGTTGGTTATAATTATTACACACAACCAGCCGGCCTATGTATTGTTATTTTTAATTAAATAATTAATTAACGGTCACCATATTTTTTTGAAAGTCCAGGAGCTGAAGTGGAATGATCGTATTGGCTAAATTTCACACATTTTGGGGTCTAAAATTACCTTCATAGCAATTTTAGGTTCTAACCGAAGGGCACTAGAAATGTCATAGATATAATAAGAATAAAAGCAATAACCATGCACTTTGAAGGCATTTGCGGTCTGAAAACAGAACTCAACTATCCCTTTAAACTCTTTGTTTATTTTCTTTGTTTTTCCTTATTTTTAATCAGATTTTGCTCAAACTTTCACTGGCATTTTTCTCTCATTTCTCTGCTTCAATTATAACAACTTTAATATCAGGGTGGATTTTCCCTCGATTATCTTAGGAGTCAGCTTATCACTACATATCAACTTGAAATATACAATCGAACATGAAACCAGAGAAAAAACTTTGAGTTTCTCTCTCTCTCTCTCTCACTGTGCTACTTTCTTTTTAAATCCCAATCCTCTCTTCCACTTTCTTTCTTAAAATACCCGACTCCCCTCCCTCTCCTCTTTCTCTTCCTCTCTTGTTTTCGGCTTGCTCTTCCTCTTGATCAACTCTTCTTCTTCATTATATAGTTATATGTAGTTCTTTCTTTCTATATGTCTCACCCAGTCCCCCTTTCCATCATACCCTAGTTTCGATTTACGAGGCGTCATTCTCAGAAGTAGGACTATGTCAGAGACACACAGTCACTGCCTTTGATGCGCCATTTAAGAGAGGCACTGTATAATTTCGCCACACGAAAAGTGTTAAAAAAAATTAAGTTCAAGTTCACTTTATTTATTTCTTTCATAACAAATATACAAATGAAAATAAAGTACGTATAAAAGTTATAATATGTATCGATATATAACATGAGAATAGCACAAGTGGAGTAGACATGAAAAACAAGGGGAACACATTTAACCATGTACATTAATGAAAGACTTTGGAGAATGGAGACTAGATAGGAGGGCCTGGGCTTATGTAAAAGTCTGTCTCCAGTGAAAGTATAAAAAACTAAGTACAGGTTGTACATTATTTAAATTATCCATTCTCTAATAAAAGAAAAAAAAGGGAAATATTTTACTTTCACACATTTGATTGAATTATGGGACATGAATTATTACCTTTAAAGACATGATTAACAAAATTGCCTAAATTTAGGTGGCAAAGAGTTTATTTCACACTAAACAAAATCTTAAAAAGAATTCGAGAATTATGAAGCAAGTGAGCCAATTTTAATCCACACAAGCAGACAAAATTATATATACCGGTACTTAAAATGCAACTTCTAAATGCAAGGTGAAGGACAGCACACTATATGGTAACTATGTTTGGTCAAATTTATTGATTAATTTTTATACATTATCCATCTCAAATCGTGTAGTCACGATCAGCCGACATAAGAAAGAAACTTGAGTTGTCATCAAAATGAACATTGCAGGACCTGCAGGGTGGGTAAAGGTAATTAGGGGGTTTCACAATTCGCCCCTCCCCCTTTCTGACATGATCCTTGGTCCACCATCGTGGTTGATCAAGGATCTGCGAAATCAGACAAGTACACAAGCTCTACCAAGAGGTCTGCGATACAGAGGGGAAGATTCTTGAGAAAAAGGAGTGAGACCAGAGATCCATGAGACAGAAGCTTGGATTCATGTGATAGGACACCGCTAGACCGAAGATCCGCGAGTTGGAAGTGAGGATTCACGAGAAAGAAGACGTGTGACACTGCTGAAGGAGGAGACCGAAAGTGCATGAGATAATAAAGGATGCATAAAAATTAAGTCTTGTTCACATACGACTCCGTAAACTGCCGCAAGAAAAGCCTCCACGGATTTTCCACGCAAACATGAATTACCTGCGCGTATTCTCAGCTCTGTGTTTACAAGATACAGCAATAGGAAGGGCATTAGACTTTATACGTCATAACAAAATTAATTAATAAAACACAGCAGTTTTGCCGCATCATATCTGAACAAGCTTTAATCACTTTTGGCACTAGAATTTCCTTCTTTCAACTGCGAAGTCCTTCTCCTCGTGTCGAACTTGAGCAGCACATGAGACGATAGTGAAATCACTTTGTCATGAAGTCAGTTAAGATCTTTCCCGTCCCGATGCCAACATGATGAGGTGGGATGACGTGAAATAGAATCCGAACCCTGAAAAGGAAAGCAAAAAATTATAATAATTTAAAACACTGCATTTAATGATTATAATGGTTGACAGGAAATTCTGATAGCAAAGAATAGACTGTTTTTGTAATGTAATCAAATATAATGCATGAATCTTTGTTATTTCATTCACCTGTTACAAATAATTATATTTCAATAGTCAGATTGCGAATTGCATATATTGATTGTTGCTAGGTAGGACAAACATTATGGCTTATCCTGACTTACAACACAGAATGTATGTAATTCGCATTCTGATTATTAACATACAATTATTCATAACAGGTAAACAAAATAATTTGTAACTAGGCAGTTAACAAAGGATTGTGCATTAAATTTGATTACATTACAAACATGGCCCATTGGATAGTATGCATGTATAGAATATGTACACATGTACCTTCTTAAAAAGGAAAACTTTGGGTTTAAACTTTTAGGAAATTAAGTGCCTCCCAAAAGTTTATTGAAACATATACACATAATAACATGTACTGTATGCTTAGGTATGCTACTGTACGTCAGAGGAAAGTGAGAGGAGAACGAAGGAAAAGGGGAAGGAGAAGCAGCAGCAGCAAGAAAGTGAAGATGAGAAGAAGGAGAAAAGAGCATTGCTATTATTTCTAAGTACTCATCTTCACCCGAGTGGAGAGTGGCAAATTTGGCTCATTGCCTTTCCAAAGGACTTTAGTGCTGGGTTGCGTAGGATTCAAACTCTCAACCCTTTGATTGATAGTTAAAGAGAAGGTTGAGTTCTGGGAAGAGGTGAAAAATAATTTGTGAGCATTACTCATTCTTATTATGCAAGTGTGGAAGAACATCAGATAAGACATGTTCCCTGAAAAGCATGGCTCTTCAAATGCCTTCATATTCTAAATATGCATGTAACATCGTAAAAATCGGGGGGCCGGCTTTTTACGCCACGTGTTCGTGTAGTCCCATATACATCTTTCTGTGCAAGTGTTTGTAACTTTACCAAGACTTCGCCACATTTCTTATCATTTTGATGATTCCAGAACCTTGCAATACACACATGCTTATATGCTAGATGATCAACCTTTTCTGGTCGGTTCCACACCGTTTCTTTCACAATGCAATCGCATGACCAGAACTCAACTTCATCTTTAAGTGAATAAACCACTATACAATGATCTTCACATCTTAACATATTCACATCTTGACATCGTATAGCAAATGGAGATATAAGCTTCAGGGGGATGTTTCACAAAGTTGAATTTATCTCTAAGTTGGACTTAACAATTATGGAAAGCCATTTGCATCTTTGAAAATATTTTGTAAAAGTTATTTTAAAGGCATAAAATGTTGATTCAAATCATTCATAATTTTTATTATCGAGGAGATTTCATTGTTCTTGATGTGGAATTTATGAAAAGTCTAAAATACTTGAATTTTTTATTTGATTATATTCTTTTTTAAGGCTACAGATGGCCCTCCATGATTTTTAAGTCCAACTTAGAGGATCTTTGTGAAACACCCCCCAGAACTTCATCCCTATTTCGGACTTACGCCTCGCCATCTGTGATCTTGAGGGCAGTCTTGAGGAAGTCGCTGATACCTATCACCTTCTGACGTATTTCCTCAGATTCACCATGCCCGCAAGTGTTGAAGATCTCGACATAGCACATCGGGTCATCGTTAGGGCCTCGACATAACATCTGGTCGCACAGAAAGTGCAATGTGACGTTCTATATTGAGTTTAAAGATAAGAAAGAGACATAAGTTAAATGGAAATTTAAACGTCACAGCCAAGAAGCATATGGAAGGCCCTCGAAGCCAAAGTGCATCTCTTTACTTTACTTTACTTTACTTTAATACACGATGTTGTAGGTCTAAGCCTGTTCATCGATCCAGGATTCTTCCATGATTACTGTTATTTGTGGAGGGAGCTAGAGGTTGTGTACAGTGTAATTAACATGAGACAATAGACAACACCTAGACCGGCTCATACAAAAGGCTTACATTCTTTGACCAGTGACTATCAAGTCTATTCTTAAATGAGTTTACCGACCCAGCTGCCACAACGTTTTCTGGGAGACCATTCCACAGTTCCACCACTCTATTGCTAAAAAAATATTTTCTTATATCAAGCCTTGAATATTTCTTTTCAAGTTTTTCTGGAGTGACCTTGAGTTCTATCTTCTGTACTCATCTTGAAGGGAATCTCTTTCACAGTGTACAAGCCATTCACATACTTATACACATCGATCATGTCCCCCCTTCTACGCCTATGAACAAGAGTTGGAGAAGAACATTTCCAAGGTCGGGGGATGACCCCTTAAACAATTGTCCATGTACAGTATGTGCGTTCAAACACTAACCGGCAACTCCAGAGACGCCAAGTTCAAAGATCGGCAATGCGTGACATTTTAATTTTTCGGCACACGAGCGAGCGTGCGAGGGTATAACACACGTATAAGGTATAGTAGCCTTTTTTCTAAATCTAGCGCGCGCGCCGTGCATGAGAGCATTTCCTGACCCTCCAAATGCGTGATGTCACGCCTAATGCGTGACGCTTGGTAGCTCTGCAACTCTGTGACGTATCTTGCGAGGTCTCCTCCCATTTGCCCTCAACTAAAAAGATTTATATTTTCCCTTCAGAAATTGTTTAATCATACATTTACCCTAAATATAATTATTGTATTGCAAATGTTTTTATATAACCCCTGTATGACATATGAAACATACAGTGTATAGTGTTCTGTAAAGAACAAAATGGAGAGGAGCTCGCAAGATACGCAACAGTTTTTTCCAATTTGTGTTTCACAAATTAATTGGCAACTCTAAAATTAAACTTTCATATTTTCAATTTTTCTGCTTCAATTGAAAACCAACATAATTTCAGGGTGGACTTCCTTTTTTAAGCATATGATAAAGCGGGGTGGGGGGTGGGGGGTGGGGGGTGGGCGGTTATCTCAGAAGAGGGAGGTCTCTTGTAAATAATAATAATAATAATAGCCTAATAGTCCACCCTCCACTCCACATTTTATTAAACCGAAACAGAAATTCTTTTTGCCCAATTGATCGTGAGCCCGGCAGCCACTGAGCAGCGCCAGATCAACGTTGCTCTATCCCTTATTGTTGAACGCCAAACAAGTTAGCAACAACTCCCATCTTTTAACATCTTTTGGTATGACGCGGCTGGGGTTCGAACCCACGACCTCCCGGTTGTGAGACGGATGCTCTACAGACTGAGCCAACACTCCGGTAAATGAAGGAAAATTATCTAATCGGATGTCTAAGTATGTCTTTAAATACTTTTAAGTTTTAAGTAAAATTTATTACCAGATATAAACGGGATTATCCTGATTAGATCTATAATTCTGAATATAGTTGGAACTTAATTCATAGCATGCACTGAGTCAATTGACACTCATAAAGGCTACTTTTAATGTTGAAACCATAATACTGTCTATTTAGGAAACATATCATATCGTGTAACATAAACAATTCCTTCACTGATCTCCTCGCCCTCGTCTATCTTCTTCTCCTCCTCCTTTTCTTCCCCGCCCGCTGGAAGTAGGAGATCAACAGCGGCAAGCTGCTCTGACGCCCACGATCCCGGGTAGCCTGGCCTGGGCAGACTCGACAGCACTCACCTTTGATTCCCGGTTCAAGCTCTTCCCAAGCGCATCGATGAAGTTTACCATAAAATCCTTCGGTAAAGCTGACTTTGAAACATTTGTGAAAGCTCGTACTGTTGGCATGATTACTCACTGTAAAATGTTGCTAAATCTGAAGATGAGATAATGAAGCCAAGGGGAATCGTACAAAACAAATGGCATCGAAAAAGTGCCACGCTCACTTTTTCAAGTACCGTCAGTCATGCATGATGTACAGTATACAAAGGCCGACAGCATAATTAACATAACAATCAGGGATTTGTAATCAGGAGTTCAGCAAGTGCTTTGGTGTCTTGGTCCTTTGTCAAAACTCCCGCATTTGGACGGGAGTCTGACCACGCCCTTCCTCCCGCTTCGATGTGTGTAGAATCTCCCGGTTTACAAAAAGAACCTCTTGCCAAACATGGTAACCACAATTTGACCCCCTAATAAAATTCAAACGTGTTTATTTCGAAATTTTATACCAGTGATTTACACATGTTGCTAAAATGACATGATTTTCTGGGTTTTCTCAACTTTGCCCTTGATGCCAGAAGCGGCACTCCCGGTGGGGGGGGGGGGGGGGGGGGGGGGGGGGGGGGGGGGGGGGGGGGGGGGGGGGGGGGGGGCACTTTTTACATAGGACAAGTAGGCCTACCCCTTTTCTTTTCTAATAATTTTCCTTTTCCTCTTTTTTCATCTCCAATGAGTACCTCTTTTCAGGTACTATAAATTCCCCTTTTCACCTCTAGCTGACATTTTTCCCTTTTTTTATATTGACTCCAGTGCCCCTTTTCCTTTCTAATAAGTACCATATTACCTTCGGATAAGTGCCCCCCTTTCCTTTTCAAATGACCCCCCCCCCTTTCAAAATGCCCCTTTTCACATCTGATAAATGCCCCTATTAAAATATGATAGGTGTCCTTTCCATTCAACAGATTCCCCATTTCCATTCTCATAAGTGCCTATCTGTAGAGTGTATCTTTTCAGGTGCAAGAAGTGCCATTTTCACCTCTGGTAATTGCCCTTTTTACTTTGACACGAGCACCGTTTCTTTCTATTAACTGTCCTTTTCCCTTTTGAAGCTTTTACCTTCCATTAAATCATTAGGGAAAGAAGGCGATTCGTTGTAGCCTACCTTTATCGACTCTCAATCCTCGTCTGAATTCAGTCCCCCCCCCCCCCCCTCTCCCGCGCGAAGCGCGGAAGCTTTGATAGTTCACTTAATTATTAGAGAAACAAGACGATTCGTTGTACCGTTCTCGACTCTTAATCCCCGTCTGAATTCAGTTCCACCCCCCCCCCCTCCCGCGCAAAGCGCGAAAGCTTTTACGTTTCATTAAATCATTAGGAAAAGAAGACGGTTCGTTGTACCGTTCTCAAATCTTAATCCCCGTCTGAATTCAGTTTTCCCCTACCCCTCCCGCGCGAAGCGCGGAAGCTTTTACGTCTCATTAAATCATTAGGAAAAGAAGACGATTCGTTGCACCGTTCTCGACTCTTAATCATTGTCTCAATTTAGTTCCCCTCCTGCGCGAAGCGCGGAAGCTTTGACATTTTCATTAATTTATTTAAGAAAGAAGACGATTCGCTGTACCGTTCTCGACTCTCAATCCTCGTCTGAATTCGGTTCCCCAGCCCCCTCCGCGCAAAGCGCGGAAGCTTTGACATTTCATTTAATTATAAGAGAAACAATACGATTCGTTGTACCGTTCTCCAAATTAATCCTCATCTGATTTCAGTTCCCCCCCCCCCCTCCTGCGCGAAGCGCGGAAGCTTCATCCTTGTCTGAATTTCAATTACGTTTCAATAAATCGTTAGGGAAAGAAGACGATTCGTTGTACCGTTCTCGACTCTTAATCCTTGTCTCAATTTAGTCCCCTACCCCCCCCCCCCCCCCTCCGCGTGAAACGCGGAAGCTTTGACGTTTCATTTAATTATTAGAGAAACAAGACGATTCCTTGTACCGTTCTCGAAATTAATCCTCGTCTGATTTCAGTTCCCCCCGCCTCCCCCTCCTGCGCGAAGCGCGGAGGCTTTTACGTTTCTTTAAATCATGAGGGAGAGAAGACGATTCTTTGTACTGTTCTAGACTCTTAATCCCCGTCTGAATTCAGTTTTCTCCTTCCCCCTCCCTCGCGAAGCGTGGAAGCTTTTACGTTACATTATATCATTAGAGAAAGAAGACGATTCGTTGTACCGTTATCGACCTTTATTCCCCGTTTGAATTCAGTTTTCCCCTACCCCTCCCGCGCGAATCGCGGAAGCTTTTACGTCTCATGAAATCATTAGAGAAAAAAGACGATTCGTTGTACCGTTCTCGACTCTCAATCCCCGTATGAATTCAGTCCTCCCCCCCCCCCCCCCCCCTCCCGCGCGAAGCGCGGAAGCTTTTACGTTTCATTAAATCATTAGGGAAAGAAGACGATTCGTTGTACCGTTCTCGACTCTTAATTCCCGTCTGAATTCAGTTTTCCCCTTCCCCCTCCCTCGCGAAGCGCGGAAGCTTTTACGTTTCATTTAATCATTAGAGAAGGAAGACGATTCGTTGTACCGTTATTGACTCTTAATCCCCGTCTGAATTCAATTTTCCACTCCCCCTCCCGCGCTCCGCGCGGAAGCTTTTACGTCTCATGAAATCATTAGAGAAAAAAGACGATTCGTTGTACCGTTCTCGACTCTCAATCCTCGTCTGAATTCAGTTCCCCCCCCCCCCCCTTCCCGCGCGAAGCGCGGAAGCTTTTACGTTTCATTAAATTATTAGAAAAACAAAACGATTCGTTGTACCGTTCTCGAAATTAATCCTTGTCTGATTTCAGTTCCCCCCTCCCTCCCCGCGCGAAGCGCGGAAGCTTCATCCTTGTCTGAATTTCAAAACTGTTTTTTGTCTGCTTCTTTTTCTTTCTACGTCCTCTTCCTTTTCTCTCCTCCCTTTTTTTGGCCGGCGTTTTTTTTTTTTTTTGGGGGGGGGGGGGAGGGGGGCGCCCCCACCGCCCTTCTGGCTACGCGCCTGCGGTCAGATGAACATATTTTGCTACCTTGTCCGCCCCCGGAAACTCAGGGGTTTAACGCAATAAATTAAGGTCAGATAAGCATTCAGGGGCCCGCCTTAGGGCCCCTGGTGGGGTCGAACACCTGCTGTTGTGGAAACCCCGGAATAACAGGAGTTTTAGGCATTTGATTACGGTCAGATAAGCACATTTTTATACCTTATAAAATTAGTGACACTGGCAGAACACTTAAATTTATGTCATTTCAGCCGCTGAATAAGCGGGGGGGGGGGGGGGGTAAGAGCACATTTTTTGTTTTGTTGTTGTTCCCGAATATATGAAAATCGCGCCGGCCGCAAATTCGTTCAGTGGGGGGAGGGGGGGGGGGGGGCACGTCCCTGTTTGCCAGTACATTTTTGGTGAATTTGGGGCTGATTTCAACATATGTTTTTTGGCCGGAGGGGCACGTGCCCCTGTGCCCCCTGAATCCGCGCCTGCGTAGAGTCCCCTTTTATATTATTTTCCCCTAGAGTTCGCTCGCTACGCTCGCTCGCATTTATAAATAATATAATTAGGTTACTGTCTTATATAAAGAACTTTTCAGTCTTTCTTCATTAACTTGTGCTTATGAATACTCATCAGGGTTTGTTTATTGTCTTCTTTACAAGATGTATTGTTTCGCAATGGGACCTCACAAATCTTAAAATTTTTGCTCGGTCGCTTCGCTCGCTCAAAAATTAATATTCAGACCATATCTAACTGCAAAGTATGTTACTTATCTTGTACCACAGACAAAAAGAAACATGATGTCATCCCTGGTAGTGTAATAATAATATTCATTTGTAAAGCGCAATAACTATATGGATATATTCTATTGCGCTGCAAGAGCTTGTAAATGCTGTGCTATACATACTATATGAACAAGTGAGTTTTCAGTTTTGATTTAAAATTATCTAGTGATGGGGCTTTCCTTATTTCTAGTGGTAATTTATTCCATAATCTAGGGGCAGCACAGAGAAATGACCGGTCCCCGAGGGTTACTTTGGTTTTATATGGGGGTATTTGCAACATAAATGTGTCTTGTGTACTACGAAGGTTACGACCATGAGTTTGAGACTTGATATGCAACAATTCAGTAACGTAACTAGGAGTTTGACCATTTAGAGCTTTGTAGACTATCAATAATATTTTAAATGTAATTCTCTGGCGAATTGGCAACCAGTGTAGTTCCTTTAGAAGTGGGGTTATTCGAGAGAATTTTGGGAGGCTGCAAATTAGTCGTGCACATGTATTTTGGACCCGCTGCAACTTGGAAATTTGTGAGTCTGGCAATCCATACAATAAACTATTACAGTAATCTAGTTTACTAGTAACACATGCATGCATGATAGTTTTCATGCTGTCCTGATCAAAGTATTTTCGAATGCGTCTCAAATTATAAATCATGAAATAGGCCGATTTGCATATTTTAGTGATATGTGAATCCATATTCAGGTGGGTATCAAAAGATACACCTAAGTTTCTAACAGTATCAGATGGGGTTATGGTGGAGTCACCAACTGATACACTACGCGACCTAAATTTAGAAACCTGGCGTGGAGTACCAATGACCAAAAGTTCTGTTTTGTTATCATTTAACATCAACTTGTTTTGCAACATCCAAATCTTAATATAAACAACACATGATTCTAATTCAGAAATACAATGATCTTCAGCCGATATGTTAGGACAGAAAGATAGGTATAGTTGGGTGTCGTCTGCGTAGCAGTGACAACTAATACTAGGAAACTCTGTATGGATATTTGTAAGGAGTCTGCTCGTATACAAGGTAAACAACAGAGGGCCTAATCACGACCCTTGAGGAACGCCAAAAGGCACATTGAATACATCAGAGACAACGTTATCAATTTCAATTTTCTGTTTTCTATCTGACAAGTAAGATTCAATCCATTCGATAACCTTGCCATCAACCCTAAAATGGCTTCTTAGAGTTTTCAGTAGACATGAGTGATCTATTGTGTCGAAAGCACTGCTCATATCAAGGAGAAGCAGTAGACTTATCTTCTGGTTGTCCATTGACATAAGAAGATCACTTTTTATCCTAAGAAGTGCTGTTTCAGTACTGTGAAATTTTCGGTATGCTGATTGATTGAACGGCAACAGTGAATGATGTTCAATGTGCTCAAGAATCTGTTGGGTAGCAGCACCTTCTACCAACTTAGAAATATACTGAAGATTACTAATGGGCCTTAAATTACTCAATTCTGTTTCGAGGCCCGGCTTTTTCAATAGTGGTTTCACTAGAGCGACCTTCCACAATGCAGGGAATTGCCCTGCTGATAGAGAAAAGTTCAACATAGAAGTAATAACAGGTATCAATTCATTGAGACATTGCAGCAATAATTTTGTGGGCATTGGGTCCAATGGACAGGACTTCTTACTGAGCTTCATTATCAATTTGCTGACGTCTTGTTCGGACAGTGATTTAAAACTTGTCAGCGTCACTATCTGCGAATCGACTGGAACAATCATCATTGATCAGTTTGTCTACGTGTGCATTGCCAAGTTTTAAATCTATGTCGTTAAGAATTTTCTGAACTTTATCCAAGAAAAACTTGCCCAAGTTGTCGACAAATGATTTCGAATCGACGTTACAAGGTACAATGGGTTGTTTATTTGACATGTTTAGCAAACCCTTTACAATATTGAATAACGCTTTTGTGTTTTCTTTATGTTCAGACACTAAATCTTTTATGGTAACTCTTCCGTGCCTCATACAATGAGAAGGAGTAAGAGTTACGAATTGACTTAAATGCTTTCCAGTCTTTGTCTGTTTTTGATTTCATCCAAATTTTTTCAGCTTTCCTCTTTTTTCTCTTTTCTTCTAATATACTATCGGTCAACCATGGCGCCTTAGGTCGCAAAACAAAAGTTCTCGTTGCCTTTGGCGCATGCTTGTCTAAGATTTCATTGAGAGTTGTGTCATATAACATCGCCAATTCAGTGACATCACTAGGTGTTCCATCACAAAGACGACTTTCAGTTAAGTCTTTTCTAAGTAACTCAGTATTGATTGCAGATAGTCTGCGAAATGAAACCTCTTTAACAGGAAGGCGAGGTTTACTTGAATTCAGGCGCGTACGCAGGGGGGGGGGGGTTTGGGGGGTTAAACCCCCCCCTTTGGAAATTTTTTGTGTGTAAACCCCCTAAAAAAAACCTAAAACCCCCCCCCCCCCCCCCCTTTTGGATTTTTTTTTTTTTTTTTTTTTTTTTTTTTTTTTTAATTATTAAAAAAAAAAAAAAAAAAAAAAAAATTATTCCCATGGCCGACCTAAAAAAGGTGACCTTACCCCCCCCCCAACGGAGCAAAATGTCAAATTTCCAAATTTCGAGACCAAAAAAAAAAAAAAAAAGTGTCCTCTTACCCCCCCCCCCCCCCCCCCCCCCCCCCCGCTTATTCAGCGGTCGGCTGAGTCGTTGCGAAATTTTCGGACCGATTTATAAATGTTAAAACCCCCCCTTGAAAAAATCCTGCGTACGCGCCTGCTTGAATTAAGGTAACACATTACAGGGATGTGATCAGAGATTAAAGATGAATGTGCCTGCGGTTTTCCAATGACAATGTTATCATCAGATTGCCGTCTTATTAACAGATCAAGAGTGTGGCCGTGTGTGTGGGTACAAAAATCAACTGTGTACAACACAGAGACTCGAGAAGATTTACGAAAGACTGTGAGTCTCCACTAGAACTATCGACATGTATGTTGAAATCTCCAACTATTAGTAAAGGAACATTGGACAATAAATGACTTTGAATATAATCATTGAATTCTGATAGAAAACATGATACAGATACAGGATGTAATGCAGAGTAAGGCGGTCTGTATATATTAATTACACATAACTGATAGGATTTTCATGAAATAATCACAATCACGACGATGTATATTTCACTTTGTAGGTGCCCCCTTTTTTCTGGTACCCCCTCCCCTATTTTGGAAGACGCACCGCCGACCCTGCATTATGCTACTTGGTGGTGATGCAGATTTTGTTCTGACCCCCACCCCCCCCCCCCCCAAAAAAAAGAAGGGTTTTTGCTCATTACGCCACTAGTTCTGGTCTCCGTTCTTCCAATACATCAACTCTGCTCTAAAACAGTCTCCCAAACAGTCTCCTAAACACACCAAAGGACTGTAAATCAGTAGATCGTTTTAAGGCCAGTCTGAAAACTTATCTTATGGCCAACTTTAACTAATAAAACCTTTTTCACTATGTATAATGCCCATAATGTAAGCATAATTGTATCTAAGTATTGTATGTAGCTCATTGTAAGCGCCTTGAGCACCCGGTCTGCATGGGTGGATTATGTTGCGCATTATAAATGTCTTTTATTATTATTATATCTATCTGCATGCACCTAAGTATCATTATATAGGCAGAATTTCGCCTCTGTTTTACGAGAACTAATATACAAAAGTGCACATACTAAGTATACATTTCTTATTGGACCTTTTACAGGGTCAACGGGGGGGGGGGGGGGGGGGGGGGGGGGGGGGGGGGGGGGGGGGGGGGTTTCCTGGAAGTTTTCAAGAGGGACACCCCCCCCCCCCCCGAATTGAGAAAAAATAGACTATCGGTTTAAATGATTATAACCATCTATGAGAAAAAAATTGGATATTACGATCAGACTTGGATTTGCCTGTGGAATCGAAAGCGCTCTAAAAGCGAAGCTTCAAACCCATGATTAATATTTTCGCTTAGTCGACCTCAAAACAATAAACATAATTTACCGCGGAAGTCACTGAATTCAAACTTATTTGACTGCAAAGTGCAAATCTTGTTGTTCGGTTGGTGGGGCCGTGGGGGTATATCCACTCCCCCCTCCCACCCACCCTTAATTTCTCGCCACCCCCTCCCCCCCCCCCCCCCCCCTCGCGGGCGTGACAAAATTACCTCCCAACGGCACCCTTGGTCGAAACAGGGAGGTGCATGGGAGGGATACAAATTAGATACACAAGCACCGACCAGTCCGCCCGTAACCCCTCCTGTATGCTATGTGGTCTTGGATTCCTTATAAGAGCGGGAACGCACATCACACTATGAATGCACAAACGCACACTTGGACTTCTCGGTACAGGTAATTATTTTGTATCAACAACATCCATCGAATTGTGTGCAGATATAGTTCGGCTCGCACGCTGTAAACTATTCATGAGTGCTTCGATGGATTTAGTTGAATAGTTGCATAGTTGCATATTTTTTATGTTTGTATATGCGTTCTGATTGGTTAAAACGGCACAATACATCCATATTTTCGATGGTTGTATAGTAACCAAACGGCAATTCATATTTGTCTTCTATCGATGCTTCTGTGATTGTTGATATTTGACTCGTTTGGCGATTCGAATAAAAGTTCGTTAGATGTGCCGATCGAGATGGAGAATACAAAGCCACTTTCAGGAGCAGATCCAGGTGCTGAAATGTCTGAAAACAAGTTCAAAGATGACACTGCTAGGTCGTCTGAAAACAGCAAGGTATGCATTGTAATTAACCGGAGTTAATAGCGCTCTGAGCCTGAAAAACGCCATAGTACTATAATAGTAGCTCTATACAATCATGTGCGATATTTTTTATTTCAAATGTGATTTGTCTATTTCTAATAGAGATTCCTGCACTTGCAGGGACAGTGGTCATTATATGGTGGTGTATGCGCACGGGTATGCGCATGACCTCAATTCGTGTACAGTTCCAATCTGAGCAAAATCAGTAAGATTTCGAAAAATTGATATGAAAGAGGACCCTAAAATTACCCAGAGACAACATTTTCTTTGGAATCGGGTTTGAAATTGTGAGAATATTTAGAAAAGATCGGCAAATTTGCTGCCTTTTGCGTCCGTTTCGAAATTTTAAAACTATATCGAAGTTATACCGACAACGACAAGGGTCAAATAATCTTCAAGTCGAGAGAAGATGTCATCAAAATTGTAAATAAAAATTGATACCAACTGATTAGGTGATATTTTGGTAACCCGACACATGCTCCGCCGACATTTACTCCGCAAAACGCGACAATTGCTCCGCGACATTTGCTCCGCGACATTTGCTCCGCCGACAATTGCTCCGCCGACATTTGCTCCGCCGACATATGCTCCGCCGACATTTGCTCCGCCGACATTTGCTCCGCCGACAATTATTACTCCGCCGACAATTGCTCCGCCGACATTTGCTCCGCCGACAATTGCTCCGCCGACAATTGCTCCGCAAAACGCGACGATTGCTCCGGTGACAAATTCTCCTCGAACGACAGTTGCTCGGCAGTTGCTCCGCCGACATTTGCTCCACCTGAAGCGACACTTGCTCCGGTGACAATGTTGATGATAATGATGGTAGCCTCTAATCGGGCACATCTACAAGGAGGTCAATGAATATGCATATCAGTGACGTCATGTCAATTTATGAATATTGATGTTCTTGACTGCGCGCGTACGATCGTACGTACGTGCAGAATTGGGGTCATGACTGTACAATGAAGGTAATACTTGCAACACAGTGGTTCAGCCAAATCAGGGCAAAATCTTACCATTATACAGTTGTATTGTCCGTGATTATGAGGTAGAAGTGTTTGAGTGTTAAGTAAATTTATTTAGTGTGGATTTTGATACATTTTTGATACAGTTTATACAAAATTGGCGATTCTTTTGGTCGTTTTTTACTCCAAAAAACAAGTGACCAACTCGGTCGTCGGCTAAACCACCTCCCTGTAGATGTGCCCATCTACCTCTACATGTGCCCGATCAAGATAGGGATCGAGTTAGTGTAATAAAATAGTATTCTATATTCAATATCCGAGAGTTCACGGATGTAACATTAAAGCTCCCTTATATAGAAGTTTCACAAATATCAATTTATCTTCTTTTCATGGATTTTCTTTGGATTCTACGTGTTTTACGTTGTCAAACAACCACCTCCCTGTAGATGTGCCCGCCTCCCGCTACATGTGCCCGAGATAAAGGATATGTAGTAAGGCATACAACTTAGTGTTGTAGCCTATATTGAATTTCCGACATGTCATGAATATAATAAAGCTTCCTAAGATACAAATGAGTTTCATAAATATCAATTTATCTTCTTTTCATGGATTTTCTTTGGATTCTACGTGTTTTACGTTGTCAAATAACCACCTCCCTGTAGATGTGCCCGCCTCCCGCTACATGTGCCCGAGATAGGGGATATGTAGTAAAGCATACAACTTAGGCTGCGTTCATGCTTAAATTTTGAAGGCAGAATGAGCGATCTGAAACGCTCATCGTAAACGCTCATCGTGATCGCAGTTCCACGATGTAGTGTTCATGCTTACTTCTCTGGCTCCCCCAGGCAATTCTCAGTGTGTGGCCTTAATTGGTCTTCCAGCTGGATTCGCAAACCTTCACTGTGCATGCTACGTAGACCCACTAGAGGTCAGTGCGTTGACCCCATTTAAACGCGTTTACAAATTGTAAACGCATCTTTTTGTGAGTTTACGATCGGCGATCGTGATCGCCGTTTTTCGGTGATTCTACAAAAGTGAGCTAAGACGCAACCGTGTTTTAAACTAAACGCGTAACAGATGCCTGATTCTGGCCGTCAAAATCAAGCATGAACGCGCCCTTAGTGTTGTAGCCTATATTGAATTTCCGACATGTCATGAATATAATAAAGCTTCCTAAGATACAAATGAGTTTCATAAATATCAATTTATCTTCTTTTCATTGGTTTTCGTTGGATTTTACGTGTTTTAAGTTATCAAAACATGCACCTCCCTGTAGATGTGCCCGCCTCCCGCTACATGTGCCCGAGATAGGGGAAATGTAGTGAGGCATACAACCAGTGTTGTATATTGAATTTCCGACATGTCATGAATATAATAAAGCTCCTAAGATACAAATGAGTTTCCTAAATATCAATTTATCTTCTTTTCATGGATTTTCTTTGGATTCTACGTGTTTTACGTTGTCAAATAACCACCTCCCTGTAGATGTGCCCGCCTCCCGCTACATGTGCCCAAGATAGGGGAAATGTACTAGTGAGGCACACAACTAGTGTTGTATATTGAATTTCCGACATGTCATGAATATAATAAAGCTCCTAAGATACAAATGAGTTTCATAAATATCAATTTATCTTCTTTTCATGGATTTTCTTTGGATTCTACGTGTTTTACGTTGTCTAACAATCACCTCCCTGTAGATGTGCCCGCCTCCCGCTACATGTGCCCGAGATAATGGTGTAGCCAGACATTATATTATATTATATATATTATATCTATGCGTATCTTTCTTGCTCCCTCGACGTGGCGACTCCACCAAACATACCCCCTCTTTTTTACTCACCCCCCCCTCTCTCTCTCTCTCTCTCTCTTTCATCCCCTGTTTCTTTTGTTTTCTTTTTCTCTTTTTTCTTCTTCTTTTGCTCCTTTTCTTCCTTTTCTTTCTTTTCCTTTCTTTCCTATCCTTCCTCTTTATCTCTTCTTCTTTCTTTTCCTTTCTTTCCTATCCTTCCTCTTTTTCTCTTTCTTCCTCCTTTTCCGGACAATATCCTGACAGGCGGGGGTGTCGCACCCCCACACCCCATTTGGGGACGCCCCTGGTTGTAGGGAGTTAGATAATATTCAAACTTTTCGTAAATATACAATATTGCACGATTTTTTTTCCTCCTCATAATAATGTAAGGAAGTAATATTTTCAAGATTTTAAGTCAAATAAGATACGATTTTGCGATCGTAAGGCATTAAGCAAACGGTAGTGTCCCCTATTTTATTTCTTTTTAAAAGTAGGCCTTTATTTTCTTTAAGCTTTGATAATTATATAAAAACATCCCCATAATCTAGCTAATATATTTCCCCCGCTCCAGTGGTGACAAAAAAGGGAAACATAACACACACGTAATCCTATCGTAATTTGTCCCCCTTGTGTGAAATATCCCCCCCTCAACTGATTGGCTAATCTTTGGTGACAAGACGATATATTTTACAAGGAAACCACCTCGACCGAAAAAAAGACAGATTTAGAACGTGACAGTAAGACAATATATATATGCTTTATGATTACCAACCTCTCCTACGAGATGACCCCGACAATAAGACACTATTTCAAACTCGTGGGAGACAGTGAGCATATAGGATGACAATATATAATGCTTTTTCACAAAAACAAAACAAAAAACACAACAATATATTCCTGTTCTCAATGTGTATGATGAATTGACAGGTGATATGTATATTATGATGTGTTTGTTCTATAATTATCTATCTTGTTTCATGACAACTTACATCAGCCTTAATTTTCGTTCTATGTGTTCCCTTTGTTGTATTTTCTTTCTTTTTATTATGGTTTGGTTATTGAAATTAATTGATTATCTATATTTCGTGTGTGAACCTTTAAGCATGTATATATCGACTCGAATAACTATTACATTTATTTTCTGTGTTTGCTTTGAATTTACCATGTCTCGAATGAATTAATCAATGATTATTTTTTATTGAACCTGCATTCAAATTTATGTTTACATTCCGTATTTTTCATGTGTTTGTTCTGTGTTTATCATTATATCAGGCCCCCTTGTTGCTACGAGGGCTAGATATCCCACCCCAAAATAAGAACGAAGACAAATTTCTCACGGCATTTTTTACTTTAATTGTGTTGCACTAAAAAGACCTTATCAGACCTCCTTACCCATCACCATCACCCTCACCCCAACAAAAAAGACAATAAATGTTTGATTCATATTTGGATTGCATTATCTCTTTGTACGATACATGACGCGAAAACCGTCAAGGTCCGAAAGTGTTCAAGCCCCCTATCCCCAAAGTCTCAAACAAATCACAATTCCGAAGTGCCCCCCCCCCTACCTCTCACCCCTCTCCGGACAGTAAGTAGGCTCGTGTTCCGGCCCAACCCCGCGTGTCTTTCTTGCTCCCTCGACGAGACAACTCCACCCAACAACCCCCTCTCTCGTTTACTCCCACCCCTCCTCTATCAGGCTCTTAACTCCACTTGTTTCCTTTTTCTCTTTTTGTTTTCTTCTTCCTTTTTCCTTTTTTTCTTTTCTTTCTTTTCCTTTCTTTCCTCTCCTCCCTCTTTTTCTCTCTCCTTTCTTTTCCCTTTTTTCCTTTCTTTTCCTTTCTTTCCTTTCTTTTCCTTTTCCTATTTTCTTTTCTTTTCTTTCCCTCTCTTTCTTCCCCTCCCCCTTATCTCTTTTTTCCCGACGGCAGCGCAATTTTACCGACAATATCCTGACAGGTGGGGGGGGGGGGTTGTCGCACCCCCACACTCCCCTCTTTGGAGACGCCCCTGCTCGTATGCACTATTTCGTTCTTGAAACACTGTTATATTATATTTACACAAATTACCTTACAGAAAACATTAACATACCCAAAGAAAGTAGTCCGTCAAATGAATCGTTATCAAACAAATAAATTACTCAAAAGTATACTGAGTAATAATCAACAACAGTGGCGGATCCAGGGGGGGGCCCGGGGGGCCCGGGCCCCCCCCCC